TCTATGAAACCATGACCCTAAATCTCCAAACCAAGGAACTAAAATCCCATGAGATGTTTGGTTATACACAAGCAGCCTCAGCACCTACTCATTTTTTTTTGTTGTTGTAAATATACCTATCACACAACTTTTGCCAATTCGACTTTTTACAGGTGTACAACTTATTGGCAGCAATTACAATAATCAGCTGTGCAAACCTACACCCTATTGATCAATGTAATTTTTCCATTACCCATTAACCCCCCTTCTCCTCCTTCCTCCTGCCCCTGGTAACCGTGAGTAAACTTGGGTCTCTGTACATTTGCCTTTTCTTGTCTTATATAAGTGAGGTAATACAATATTTCTCCTTTGTGATTAGCTTATTTCACTCCGCATAATGTCTTCAAGCTCCATCCATACTGTAGCATATATCAAGACTTCATTTCTCCTACCTGCTGAATAGTATTCCATTGTATATATGTACCACATTTTGTTTATCCATTCACCTGTTGATGGGCATTTAGGTTTCCACCTTTTGCTATTGTGAATAGTGCTGCAGTGAACTTTGGTGTACAAGTCTCTTTTTGAGTCTCTGCTTTCAAGTCTTTTGGGTATATACCTAGGAGTGGAATTGGTAGTTTTTAGTTTTTTGAGGAACTGCCACTCTGTTTTTCCACAACAGCTGTACCATTTTGGATTCCCATGAGCAGTGAATAAGGGTTTCATTTTCCCCATATCCGCACCAACATTTGTTATTTTCTGGTTTAGTCATCCTAAAACCAACCCCTGCCCCGCCCCAAACAAACAAAACACAAACCCACTGCTGTCGAGTTGATTCCGACTCATAGCAACCCCATAGTGGGTCTGAGGCTTTCAATCTCTATCAAAGTAGACCACCACATCTTTCTCCTGCGGAGCCGCTGGTGGTTTTGAACAGCCAACCTGTTAGCAGTCGATGGTTTTAACCACCGTGCCACCAGGTGAAATGGTATCTCGTTGTGGTTTTGATTTGCATCTCTCTGATGACTGATGACACTGAGTATGTTTTCATGCATTTGGTGACCATTTGAATGTCCTCTTTGGTGACATGTCTATTCAAGTCCTTTGCCTATTGAGTTGTCTTTTTAAGTTGTTGAAGTTTTATATGTATTTTGGTTATTAGATTCTTGTCAGATATATGGTATCCGAAGATAGTCTCCCAGTCGGTAGGGTGTCTTTTCACTTTTTTGGTAAAGTCTTTCGATGAACAGAAGATTTAATTTTTATGAGGTCCCATTTATTGTCTTTTGCTGTTTGTGCTTTGTTACTAGATAATCCATTGTTGAAAGCTAGGTCTGATAGTGTTGCCCCGACTTATTCTTCTAAGAATTTCATAGTTTGTTTTCATTTCAGTCCTTAATTCATTTTGAATTTGTTTTTTTGTAGTGTGAGGCATGGATCCTGTTTCATTTTTCTGCATGTGAATCCAATTTTCTCAGCACCATTTATTGAAGACTCTTCTTTCCCCATTGTATGGACTTAGCACCCTTGTCAAAAATCAGTTGACCATAGATGTGTGGGTAAATTGCTTTTGTTTTTAAAGTATGCACATCTGTTCCATGTCCCCGATGACTTTCTTAAAGGCAGAATGTGACTTATTCTCCGTTAACCCCATAAGGTCCTAGCACAGTGCTTTGTCCACAGTAAGAACCACATACGTATTGGTTGATGAAACACTGATTTGGAGGCTGGAGTAAAGGGTCTCCCTTCAGTAACTTGGGCCAGTGTCTTGGTCACTGACTATACAGTTTCTCTTCCACTCTGGAAAAGAAATTTGTAGCAACTGAGGTAAAGCAAACCCCACGAAAACCTTGTGGAGCTCAATGTGCTCCAACTCTACAGGAGGGACAAATGGTTCCAGGGTCCTGGGGTCCTCCTGTTTTGAGGGCTACTTGGAATTTACTGATTTGTGGAGTATAAAACAAGACAAAAGGAGAGGACTATGGAACAGAATAAAGCAGAAAAAAGCCTTCAGGGTGCATTGCAGAATCCTAGTGGCTGTCAGCATCTCTGAGGACTTGAGGCCTATCAACAGTGTGTTAATGTCAGTGCTTTTGAGAATATTCATTATAAACCAAACAACTTTAGAGGCCTTTAAAAAGGGTCCAAGATGTGTACAGGAAGACATGCTCCATGCTTGAAAGACCCAGACAATGCCCCAACAGGACTGCTCCTCTTAAATAAAAAAGCTCTATGCACTTAACACACAGCCTGGGAAGGCCTGCCCTTCTAGAGGCTCTGCATTAGTTTAGTTTCTCGTTTTTTCTGGTTCTTGTACTGAAGAGGAAAAGGAGCCCAAAATGTTAAATGAAGCTGTGCGACATTAGGAAAGCAGCGTTAAACCTGGCAGTCAAAAGACTGCTCTCCCTGCCCAGCTTTGTCACTAGCTGGGTGCCCTTGGGCAAGTTGGTAGGTCTTTTTCAGGCTGTGCTCTAATCTGTGATGAGGGGCTAATACCTACCTTCAAAATCTCATTAAATCCCAGTGAACGGCTCACACAATCCTCCCTCCTTACTTCATTCATTAAGGACCAAAAATGTTTGTAAATATCTTGCTAAACTGCAAAGCACAAATGATGGTAATCTTTAATGTGTTAAGCACCTGCAATATACCCAGCACTTATTTACTACATAGCTGCAAGGCTCTACTGAAATCATCACTTATGCTTTCCTTTCACATGTCCCCTAATAACATCATCTTCTTGGAGCACTAGGGTTTCAGGTATCAGTTTTAGAACAAGAATTTTTAATGATGAAAATCTATCAAAACAACCTGCCATACTCTAAATTGCCTGACTGATACTTAACAGCATCTTTGGACTCAACAGATTCAGGTAAGACAGAAATGCCTCATGCTCTCTGGACAACATGAAAATGCCATGTAGTCAAGCACTGCAGCATATGCCAAAAGGACTTAAGGAAAGAATCAACTGTGAATTGTGCGCTGGAATATCAGGTACAGAACTGTAAATGTTTCAGCAATAGAGGTGACGCTGCTTGCAGAGAATTTTCAGAAATGAGAGAAAAAGTTTAAAATGAACATGAGGAAAAATATAATCTTAAGCAGAATAGGAACAGCTAAACAAGCATGCTTAATTATCTGGATTTAAGATTTCAAAGGTTACACGAAGTATAATGTAAAGACTGAAATGGGAGCGTCTTAAGATCTGCAAGACACTATTCAATGTTACTTCCTTGCTGCTCCAGGAAATATTCATACAAAATTAGAAAATGAATGAGTGTATTTTTGTTTATCCCTCATGAATTGGTTTTCCCAATGACATGCTGATAACATAAGTGATAAGGCCTATCAATAGTGTGTTAATGACAGGGCTTTTGAGAATATTAATTATAAACCAAACTTTAAAGGCCTTTAAAAAGTGTCCAAGATGGGCGGTTAAGACATGCTTCATGCTCAAAAAGACCCTGACAATGCCCTTTCGAAAGGCGTCCCTAGACTGCACGTATGTGTCCAGGCATGGAGTTTGTTTACACGGGGTAATAAAAACAACCGTTTACTTCAGCTTCCTTTGAACATTTATTTTTAAGTGGCTCCCCTCCCTGACTCCCACGGGAAAATAACATCTTTAGAACAAGTTTCTTTTTGAATTTGAAATATTAGCCATTACTTTCTATGGGCATGTATAGTACCAAGTTCACTGGAGAAGCTACATATAAGAAAAGTTTATTAAAGTAGACAACTCCATGGCATAAACCATTCTTTCCCTTATTTCTGCCTCCTCACCTGGTACCCTCTCAAGTCCCCAAACAGTAACTTTCAAAGCATCTAATAAAACTCAATTTTATCTATTTAAGATGATCTAAGCATTTCCTGCACTGACATCAGCTAGCATTAGGTGGGGACCTTGCATGATATGTCATTAGGTAAGCCCAGCTACGGTGAGCCTACGCAGACACTCCAATCTTGCCTCATCTCTAGAAAATCTAGCGTCCTGCCAGGGCCTGTTTCTCATCGTTAAGTGCCTCCCGGTGTTTGCTGGTAGGTTTGCATCCTAAGTCATCTGTGTACAAGTGGCTGACTGAGTACGAGGGCATGAGTAATCTATAAAGATTGACTTACTTATCAATAACTTTCAAACTGTACCATCAAAAAAAAATTGAAGTTACTGAGTGCTCAGAGTAAGGAAATGCTATTGCTATTTCATGTCTCATATAATTTTCCAGGAAGTCTACTCTTCCCCGGCCTTCTAACTGGCAGCACCTAGAAGATATATCAATGGGGGTTTTGATTTTAAGTTGAGGGGATAAGTTTTAGGAAAGAATATTTTTAGACTGAGTCTCTAAAGGCAACCTGGGAGAAAATCAGATAAAAGCAACACTGCCCAAAGTTAATAAAGTACAAATATGAATTTTCTTAAGCTATAAAATATATTGTAACTTTATTGGACTTTTCTATTTTACTGGCTGTTCAGACTCAACCAAGGCCTTAGTAACCTATAACCACACTCCTTAACATCTTCGAGGCATCACAGTACGTAACATGAAATCTGATTAGATGGCCCAGGACTAGTCAACCTAATGTAGAGCAGCCATTAACGTCACAGCTGTGGTCATTTAGTGCTTTTATAATAATTCAATCAGAAAATGTAAAGATACTTGCTATAATGTGAGGGTTCTCTGCTGCTGCTGTGCATGGCATTATGCAAGAGGAGTTTGCCAGGCCAAGTCTAATGAATGACAGATACCAGCAGATGCCATTTTGTAGGTAAGCCAAAACTCTGCCTTGTATTTAGAATGAGAAAGGTAAAAAGCCTATGAACAATTATTTTCCCCCTTGGGCTCCTATTCCTCCACCTCCACAACCACTCCTTTCTCAATTTGTCCAATTATCCATTCATCTAATATCCTGATTACCACCTTACTCTCCAGGTAAGAGTGGTATTTAGAATTCTATTCAGTGTGAGGGGACGGGGTGGGTAGGTAGATGGGTGGATGAATGGACAAACTGACAAAGGGAAGGGAAAAAGGAAACATTCCAGAATTTTCTTATTTAATAGGATCTCCTTCATGATACTTCTTGGGATGTAAAGAGAGCTTGGTGTAAGGAAATTAATTTTGACAAAAAACTTGTACGACTGAGTAAAGGCAGTTTCTTAACCCATCCTCAATCCCTAAGAGATTTTCTTAAAAATCTATGGACAACCAAAGAGGAAGCATATTTGTCCCTTTCCAAATGGGGACAATGTGACTCCTCCAAGGTTATTTACAACACTGGCTCCAGAAAGCAGCAGCCTCCTGTCAGCCATTTGGGAATGGGCAGTTAGAGCCGCACATTTTGGAACCAGCCAGGTCTCTCGAGTCTGATGTCTGAAGAGCATTTCAGTCCACTTCCACTTCAGGGCTGGTGAGGGTTAGGGGTGTCTGGCGGTCCTGGTCAAGGTTCTATCCTTTGATAACAGCAATTGGCCTCAGTTTGATAGCCTTCTTGCTGATTCCAGCATCGTGGCAGGTGTTCACCACATCTGTCACGTTCTTATAGGATTCAGGAGCCTGCAGGGGAGGAATTAAACATTTTTAAAAGTCTACTCAAAATGGAATCTTTAAAAGCATTAAACTTCACTTGTAATTAAAGATATGTAATTTAAAATACTGATTTTTTTTTTTTTGCCTATCAAATTAGCAAAGATTAAAATAATGATTAAGCTTAATGTTGGTATTTTATATTTTTCCTGTTATTTCCCAAATTTTCTCCGAAGAACATGTATTACCTGTATAACCAGGAAAAGCAGTAAACATTATTGAATAAAACATACACACCAATACCCGACTGAAAAGACATGCACCAAACCATTATCTTAGTGGCAATTATCTCTGGATGGTAGAGTTATTGGTAATTTTAATGTTCTCTCTTTATAAATTTCTACAGTTGCCAAAATTACTACAATGAACATATATTACCTCTATAATAAGGGAAAATTATTAAAATATAAACTATTAATTGTGTGCGTGTATGTGTGTATATAAATAAATTTCTCTGGGTTCCTAGCAAGACCTCCAAAACCCCTTCCTCCCACCCAGACTCACTGTCTTGCCAACATTAGAATTCATCTCATCATATACACCCTTTATCCCTCATGTCAACACTAGAAGCTTAGGCCTCCCAGACCCACTCCCATAGGGCTTTGTATATGCCCTTTTTATAATATACCATTTCCTTTCAATTTCTGAAACTTCTATTGTGGCCTCGGGAACTCCTGCCAGTGAGTCAAGTGCAAACTCCTTTCCATCTTCCCCCTCTTCTTTGAACACTGCCTTCACCCTCCTGTTCCACTGAAACGTGGTTCTCCCAACGGTATTACATCTCCCTCCAGCTTTTCTGAAGCGGTAGCTGTTTTCTTTCCCAAACGGGGTCATGCTGTTGGGCCCAGAAGTGGGATAAGTATCCTTGCTCTTCACGGTGGTTTCCAGACCATCCTCCCTCTCTCCTAAGAACTCCCAGTTTTGAATCTTGCAGTCATCATATATTAGACCATCTACCACCTCTTCTTGTTGGAGTTACGTACTGGACTATGAATCACTCTCCATTATTATTTGGGCTCTCTGCCACTCTCTCCTGCTCTAATTCTGAATGAATTCAATACCCAGGGAGTGGATCCCTCTAGTACACTGATTTCTGCTCCTCCAGCCATTCACTCTCAGGGTCATACCAGAGCCTATCATTACCAAGGACCACAACTTCTCTATCATCTCAATTTCTAGCACCCCAGGCGGGTGACCACAGCCTGGCTTTCCCTTGTAGCCCACCTCCAACAATCCTTTGAGCCCACAAGGACCTACAATTCCTCTGTTATCACCCTCAACAACCTTGCTCCTCTTTCACTGTGCTGTACCTGCCCAAGAAATCACATCTCTGGTTAAAGCTAACCAAACCACCTAGTTTATGCCTGCACCCAATCACTGAATTCAGGTGGAGTCTGGGTGCTGCCTGACAATCATCCAAAGTTCCACCGGGCCAAATACTCTCTCTCTCAGATGATTATTTCAGACCTGCTTGCACATCCTCTCAGTTACTGACATCACTTCCTATTACGCTGAAAAAAAAAAAAAGAAGCAACCAGAATATAATTTCCATAAACTTTCTCTCCATATCTTCCCCGCCTATCTGCATTTGTGCTTTCTCTCCTTTTAATAAGGATGAACTGTCATACCATCTGATGCATTAACTCTACTTTGGGGATCATATTCTAATTATTAAACATCTAGAAAAAAGCTTCATGCATGAAGATACTCACGACAACTTAATTTATAAAGTAGCAAAAATTTGGAAGATATTTAACTGTTCACTAATATGAACAGAAATGTACGGTACTCTGCTGGGTGGAATATTCAGCAATCATTAAAAAATGATACTTATAAAGTCAATATAAACTAATATGCATTAAAAAAGGGCTCCAAAATGTTTGTAAACTACAATTACAACTAACTTAAAAAGGATTTAGGGGAAAAAATGGCAGCAAGTATCCCAAAAAGGAGGTGGTAATTGTGTTAGGGGAGCCCTGGTGATGCAATGGTTAAGCACATGGCTGCTAATCAAAAGGTCTGAGGTTCAAACCCACCCAGCAGCTCCATGGGAGAAAAGATGTGGCTATCTGCTGCCTTCAAGATTACAGCCTTGGAAACCCTATGGGGCAGTTCTACTCTATCATATAGGATTGCTATGAGTGGGAATCAACTCGATGGCATACAACAATAGTTGTGTTAGGGCACTGAGCTTCTGGATGACTATTTTTTCTCTTAAACTTTTTAGAAAGGAGTTACGTTGGTTTTAATTTAAAGATCTGTACGCATATGTATACATCCAGATAATTTAAATAAAATCTTTACTGTGAATCAAACAGAATTACATTTTTCAAAACTTTTCCTCCCCTTTTCAGAAGACTGCTTTCAGGTTTAAACAGTAAATAAACAGTTATGTAAAAGAAAGGTTAAAATGTGTTAGCTCAAACTACCTTTCAAGTTTAATATGTAGACAGAGACTGTACATGGGAAGTAAAAATCATTTTTATGGACCTGGCTTGTAATAATCTCCAAACAAAAGAGAAGAGAATGATAAATCCTAAATGAGATCATTCAAGAAGCAAACATAATTTCTAATAATATCAGAACTTGTTGTCTCGGTATACTGGCACAAACCATAAGCAGTTTTCTACTGAAAAATTATAAAAATTTCACTTACCTCTTCCATAACTAGTTTGGGTGAGGCAACACGGATTGCAATTCCCATATCTGCCAATTTGTCTAAGACATCCTGGAAATCTAAGTTACGCCGAGATTTTGCTCGAGACAGCGCACGACCCTAGAATGGAAAAGGATGAACTTCACTTTATAAATGAGAGCTACATTTTATGCTCGATCCCAGCAACTATGGGAATCCTTAGGATTCCCTGATCTACTTAAACTAAAAAGAGTTAATAAAAAAACAAATTTTTTCTACTTTATCAACCTTATTATGTATCTTTTGTTGTAAGTAACATCATATCCTTTTGGAAAATAAATTTCTACTTACACAAAGCATTTTGTATTTAAAATTTAGTTTTATGTATTTGTAACTACTGTTGAATTAATGATAAATTCAATACAAATATAATTATTAATTATCAAGGGTAAGTCTGTTATCACAAAACTTTGTGCTCTTTGTGGGGTTTAAAAAGGGTTTCTCAACCTCAGCATTACTGATGGTTTGGACCAGATAATTCTTTGTGGGGGCTGTTCTGTGCATCCTTGACCTCTACCCACTAGATGTTAGTACCACCCTCCTTTGTGACAATCAAAGCTATCTCCGAGGAGTGGGGAAAAAAAAAACTCAGATGCTGTCAAACATCATCTGGTGGGGGTGGCACAAAATCCAATTGAGAACCACTAGGAAAAATCAGCAGTTGGGAAGCAGCTGGAAATGGGAAGGATCAGAGAAAAAAAAGAAGGGTTAAAACGTATTTCCGAGGGTCTGATCTAGAAGAAGACTATCCTAGACAGTTTCTATTTCCCACTCCAGTACCAGCAGGGCACTCTGATGGCTTAGGACAGAGGCTGGCAAACTATAGGCTCAAGGGCCAAATCTGGCCCGCAATCTGATTTTGTAAAGAAAATCTAATTGGAATATAGCCATGTCCATTTTCTTTATGTATTTTGTCTATGGCTGCTTCCTTACTACAACAGCAGAGCTGAGTAGCTGTGACAGAGACTATATGATCTACAAAACTTAAAACATTTACTATCTATCCCTTTATGGAAAGTTTGCAGATTCCGGGCTTAGAAGGTAAAAGGCAACACGCTGAAATGGGCATGCAGACCATGCCCGGTGGGCTCTGGTTTGCAAACAGGGCATACTTCCAGAGCCTGCAGTGGATCCCCCCAGTAGGAAGGGGCAAATTATGCAGATGACCAGCTCCAGTGAATCACTGAGATTTGCAATGATGTAAATTTGCATGAGTTATAGCTGTATCAGTTATCAACAGTAATAGTAAGCTCAGCTAGTATGACATTTTTCCAGTCCAGATTTTCTGGACTTGCAGGGATGAAGAACAGACCTTAGTTCTATAGGTAGGAGACATGAGAGACCCAAACCTCCACTTTGTTAATGCTCGGTCAGGTACATTTACCTGTCCAAACGCAAAATCATTACTAAACTGAAGAGACCACTTCTAAGCCAGCTTCCATTTTCCTTACCGCTCCATGACAGGTGGTTCCAAAGGTTTCAGTCATGCCCTGTTCAGTGCCAGTAAGAACGTAACTACAGGTTCCCATGGTGCCACCAATAAGCACCGGTTGTCCAGTGAGCTGAGAATGCAGACAAATCAAACATGTTAGACTTTAAGAAAGTGTAAGTTTTAATGCCTAAGATGTAAATTTCTATTTGCATTGTGGGACTGTAGGAGAATCCTGGGCCTCTAAACTCAGTGCCTCTTGTATTAAGAAGTTATTTTCATTTTTTGATAGCTGGGAAGGGGGAGGGGGAGCGATAATGTGAGAACTAGTAAAAATGCAGAAGACAGACGGAATGTAAGAGCAAAGCAAAATTCAAATGTGTAGTGAAGAGTTACTGTAAGGACCATCCTGGGCAAGGCACCTGCCCTCACTGGGCCTAGCTTTCTTACCTATAAAATGTGAGGACATGCTAAAGGCCTTTCTAACTCTACTACAGCCAGACACCAAAAGGCTAACAGGAATTCAACAGACAATTCAAGTTTAATCATAATCTTGCCTTTGCAATACTCTAGAATGTCTTCCAATAATTCAAAGGCCTTTAAAAAGATAATCTTAATTCATTTTAATATAGTAAAATATACCTCAACAGCACAAATGATGTGGGGGGTGGGTGGGGCGTCACTGCCTTCAGAGAATGGGAACCACGGTTCTCAAGGGAGACAGATTGTTTTGTTTTCATAATTGCTACATTTGTAAATTCATCCATATGCAGAACTATCTAAACCATGCCCCCATCGTAAAACCACAAACCCAGGCTCCGTACCTGGTAATCCACGGCAATGAGGGGGTGGTGAGGAGGGAAAGCTCGGGTGGATCCCTTCCTGTGCACCAACAGCGTCCGCTCCTTTCCGTCCACCACATGTTGCTCTATCTTGGCAATATTGTGAGAAACGTCATAGATCACATGTAGGTCCAAGTCATCCGGGGTTGTGTTGAAGACCTTGGCAAAGGCCTAAGAGAAAAAGCTTAAGTTAAAAGCAGTCAGAACCAGCTCTTTAGACTGTATCTTCTTGATTTTAGCTAGTTTATTCCTGAAGGAAGTGAGAGATTTAAGAGTCCAAACGTGTCATATTGTTAATCTTTGCATAAATGACAAAAACTGCCTTTGAGACCATATAGTCCATTCTTGGGTCCATAAATTCCCACTCTGGTTGAAGAGCTGCCTGGCTATTCTTGATCCCAGTGCCTTCTGAATCTCAGTGAATGGCACCTCTGTCTATTCTGTTGTTCAAGCCAAATTCAAGGAGTAATTCTTGATTTCTCTCCTTCCTTCACACTCCACATCCAGTACCAATATCCTGCTGATTTAATTTACAAAGACAACAAAATCTTGGTTACTTTCCCAATATTCTATTTTATTATATAAATTTCCAGAGCAAAATCCCACAGGCTTTGATTTGACTATTCTATGTTTTACAGCACTTAACTTCACCGCGACCAACTAGGAATGAAAGAGCAACTTCAACGGCACCTGACGGGTTAAGAAGGTCATGGAGGAGCGGTTGACCCAGGCATAGTTCCCAGCCGCAGCCATTCCCTTCAGGTAGTCCTGACCCTCTGTGGAAGCAATTCGAGCACAGGCCAACTGACGGTCATTGACTATAATCTTGTCTCTCTTCATGGCTTTTTCCATAGCTACCAGTGCATCTGGACCAAGAGAGAAAGAGACCCACATCGACCACGTTTCCCTTTATAATTCAGATTTACTACAGAGAGGAAGGCTACAGTTAAACCCATACTACAAGAACAAGAAGAAAAATACAACTTTCCCTTTCAAGTATTTCTGAGCTCATCTATTTGCTCAGTCAAGATTTGGGTATTAAGAATGTTCTTGGTCAGAGTCCTATGACACATGCCATGTGGGTTACAAAGATAACATCTGCACTCCAGGACCTCTTGGCCTTCTAAGGCGAAGAATGAGATGTATACATAAATAGCAACAACCTGGTCTTAGTTACTACATTTCCTTCTGCACGTGAAGGAATGAGAATAGAGGTAGTAAAATATGTCTCATTACCATCATGCTTTTAAAAAAAGAAAATTTTTTCTACTGCCTTAATATAAAGGAGCTACAGAGAAGTTGCTACATCTTAGATCTTCTGTAGAAGGGTCAAATCCATGATAAGGTGTAGAGGGACTGTACTCAGGAGAATGTTCAAAAACACTAATCAGTGCTTCCTGCATTTGCTAAATATTCTACAGGGCCAGGTTGGCATAAATTATTAAATTCTCAAAAGATGAAATGCACATACAAGACTAAATTATAACATTAGATTTACTTAAGCTTATAGTAATTTCCATGTACCTATATAATTTCATATATTCCTAAATCCTTTCATACACCCTACGAGTCAACCAAAGTGACCTGCCCACTCTCTCTGTCTCCTGCTTTTGTTCATGCTGTCTTTTTGTCACAAGTGCCATTTGTGTGACTGTCCAAAGTGCAAGGCCAGGCTCAAATGCTGTGTCAGTGAAGCCTTCCCTGAAATCTTTTTCTTAAATATATTTCTCTCTCCAGTAGTACTAATTGCTACTTTCTGTCTTTTTCATTTAAATAAATATGATTCACGAGACAGTTTGAGGGCAGAGTACTGTCTGAATTACTGAATCCATCGTAACACAGTATCCTGCAGGGTAGGTACCCAATATGTATTTGCTGAAGGAATGTCTGTTCCACAAACTCCACAATATCAGTATTTTCTCACTCTGTTAGTAACCGGTAATGATAAACATAACAACTAGAGCCAACACTAAGTGTCAGGCACTGATTTAAGTGTTTTACATTTATTACCTCATTTAACCTCCCACAACAACACCATATGAAATAATTAGGTCCAGAATATACCTGTGGCTACTTGGTGGCCCAAGCCTCTGCTCCCACTGTGGATCATCACACACACCTGTCCCTTGTGGTCGATGCCCATTTTCTTAGCAGCGTACTCATTGAAAATCTCATCCACAACCTGAATTTCTGCGTAATGGTTGCCGGCTCCCAGGGTCCCCAACTGCAAATTTAAGAATGTCTGATAAAATGGCTTCTAGTTCAGTTTAAAAAAAAAAAAAATCCATTTTAAAAGCAAAGAGTTGTAAAAGGAAGACAACAACATAAATTCACAAATCGTGTTTTACATAACAAAAAAATTTCTAAGCCTCAGAAATGCTTCACTCATTTAAAGCAATATTCCACACAACAAAACAAATGTAGGCAAGCTCCTGAAGTTAATTATTATAAATCTGCTTAAGGTACACATATATAAAATGCTTCATACACTGACAGGAAAGCTGGTAATAGGGAACTCAAGGTTGAGAAGGGAGAGTGTTGACATGTCGTGGGGTTGTTAACCAATGTCATAAAACACTATGTATACTAACTGTTTAATGAGAAACTACGTGTTCTGTAAATCTTCATCTAAAGTATAATTAAAAAAAAAAAAAAAAAAAAAAAAAAACGATTGCCCAGGAGCAGAAGCTTGAAGAGACAAGGACCTTCCTCCAGAATTGGCAGAGAGAAAAAGCCTTGCCCTAGAGCTGGCACCCTGAATTCTGACTTCTAGCCTCCTAAAACCCAAAACCAAACCCACTGTTGTCTGGTTGATTCTAACTCATAGCCTCCTAAACTGTGAGAAAATAAATTCGTTTGTTAAAGCAGAGAAAAAAAAAAAAAAGCTTCATAAACCAAAACAACGCAGGTCATTACGTAGCTCATAGGACATTTTAAGTGACGTGATAAGAAGGGTCAAATTTTGGGATCAACTCTGGTAAATGCCATCTCTTAGAAAAGGCCCAAGTTCAAATAGGATTTCTGAAACACCTGAGTTTAATGATGCTCACCATCACCCATCACTGAAAAACTATATCCTGTACCTGAGGCTGGGCATCCCTGGCTGGCATAAGTGGTTAAGTGCATGGTTGCTAACTGAAAGGCTGGCAGTTTGAGCTCAACCAGAGGTACCTCAGAAGAAAGGCCTGGTGACCTACTTTGAAAAAATAGCCATTGAGAATCCTATGGAGCAGCACAGTTATACTCTGACATACATGGGGTCACCATGAGTTGGAACTGACTTGATGGCAACCGGTTTGGTCTGGTTCTGGTTTATAACTGAGGCTAAAAGATGATTTCAAGAACCAGAGAACGCCCTGCTAGAAAAGTCTTTAGAAGCCACCTAGTTTTAATTACCTCAGTTTCAGATGAGGGAACTAGATCCAGAGAGACAAAGAGACACACCTTGAGACATGCCAAGATCCCAGTGAATTAGTGGCAAAGCCAACACAATTAGTTGTAAATTTCAAACATCTGGAACGTTCTTGGCGCCCTGGTGGCAAAGTGGTTAAGAGCTCAGCTGCTCCTTAGAAACCCTATGGGGCAGTTCTACTCTGTCTGATAGGGTCGCGATGAGTCGGAATCAACTCGACGGCAATGGGTTTGGTTTTGGAATGTTCTTACCTCATGGACACCATGCATTGACAAAGTGTCCCTCTTTCACCTTCGATGGCAGCAAGCTTTGGGCCCAATTTATATATTGTCGAAGTATGCACTGTATATATGTAATGTTGGATAAGTTGTAAACTTTACATCATATCCTATTTTTTTCCCATTCACTTCTAACTCATGACATTTTGTTTTATTTTATGAACATTTTGAAGCCCCTGATATCTTTTTAGAGTAAGAATGAATGAAGCATAAAAAAAAAGTTGGTTTCCCCCACCCAGAAACCCTCATTCATTTATTTATTGTGGTAAAAAACATATATAAAACATTTACCAATACAAATTTTTTTACAGGTGTAGTTCAGTGACATTGATTACGTTCATCATGGTGTGCAACCATTATCAGTATCCTTTTCCAAATGATTCTACCAATTTGTGTGTTTTTGATATACTGTGAAAAAACTTGAGGATATGCTTGTTAAATGGAAAAGAGAATTTTTTTTCCAAACAAAAACAAAGCATAAGAAAATAACGTATTGCCCTCCAAGGAGAGTTACCTGAGGAAGGCCTCTTTTTTTGGCCCTTGGAGAGACCTTGTTGGGGTCGGCCTGCAGCATCCTTCCATACTCCTCACAGTGCTCCTTGTCTTCAGCCCAGGCATAGCCTTCTCTCAAGGACCAGTCCACACCCATCTCCAAGGCCTCCTCCAAGTCTCTGAAGTAAGTAATAAGATGCTAGTCATTTCACAGCAAAGGAAGATCGAAACCCAAGGATGTGCCAGAAGATAAGTCAGATAACTGGGATCTTCTAAAAAGTAAACACTTATGCTCATCAAAAGACTTCATCAGAAGAGGAAAAAGAGAACCTACAGACTGGGAAAAAAATTTTGGCTATGACAAATCCGACAGAGGTCTAATCTCTAAAATCTACAGGAAAATCCAGAATCTCTACAACTAAAAGATAAATAATCCAATTAAAAAATGGGCAAACGAAATGAACAGACACTGCACTGAAGAAGACATTCAAGCGGCTAACAGACACATGAGGAAATGCTCCCGATCACTAGCCATTAGAGAAATGCAAATCAGAACCACAATGAGATACCATTTCAACCTGGCATTATTGGCCCGAATCAAAAAAACCAGAATATAACAAATGTTGGAGAGGCTGTGGGGAGATTGGAACTCTTATGCACTACTGGTGGCAGTGCAAAACAGTACAACAATTTTGGAAAACGATATCGTGTTTCCTTAGAAAGCTAGATATCAGAAATACCATATGATCCGGCAATCCACTCCTAGGAATATATCCTACAGAAATAAAAGCCACCACACAAATAGACATATGCACACCCATGTTCACTGCAGCGTTGTTCACAATAGCAAAAAGATGGAAACCTAGATGCCCATCGACAGATGAATGGATAAACAAACGATGGTACATACACACAATGGAATACTATGCAATGATAAAGAACAATGATGAATGCGAAGCATCTCACAGCATGGATGAATCTGGAGGGCATTATGCTGAGTGAAATAAGTCAATCACAAAAGGACAAATATTCTATGAGGCCACTATTATAAAAATTCATGAAAAGGTTTACACACAAAAGGAAACAATTTTTGATGGTTACAAGGAGGGGTGGGGGTAGAAAAACACTAAATAGACAATAGATAAGTGGTAACTTTGGTGAAGGGTAAGACAGCACACAATACTGGGGAAGCCAGCACAACTTGTTCAGGGTAAGGTCCTGAAAGCTCCGTGGACAAATCCAAACTCCCTTAGGGACCAAATTACTGGGCTAAGGGCTATGGGGAACATGATCTCAGGAAACATCTAGCTCAATTAGCATAACATAGTTTATAAAGAAAATGTTCTACATTCTACTTTGGTGAATAGCGTCTGGGGTTTTAAAAGCCTGTAAGCAGCCATCTAAGATATTCTACTGGTCTCACCCCTTCAGGAGCAAGGGAAAAAGAAGAAAACTAAAGACACAAGGTAAAGATTAGTCCAGAGGACTAACAGACCACAACTACCACGGCCTCCACCAGACTGAGTCCAGTACAACTAGATGGTGCCTGGCTACCACCGACTGCTCTGACAGGGATCACAATAATAGAGTCCCAGACAGAGCTGGAGAAAAATGTAGAACAAAATCCTAACTCATCAAAAACAAAAAAAAAGTGACTAGACTTACTGGCCTGACAGAGACTGGAGAAGCTCCCCCCCCCCCAAGTATGGCCCCTGGACACTCTTTTAGCTCAGTAATGAAGTCACTCCTGAGGTTCACCCTTCAGCCAAAGATTAGACAGGCCCATAAAACAACACAACACTAAAGGGGCACACCAGCCCAGAGGAAAGGACGAGAAGGCAGGAGGGGACAGGAAACCTGGAAATAGGGAGCACAAAGTCAAGAAGGGTAGAGTGTTGACATGTCGCGGGGTTGGCAACCAATGTCAGAAAACAATGTTTACTAATTATTTAATGAGAAGCTAGTTTGTTCTGTAAACCTTCATCTAAAGTATAAGAAACAAAACATAACATAACAAAACAAAAAACCTAATGGTGACCACATCTCTAAAGGGCAGAGAAGAACACTAAATTTATTGACTAGCTCCTATGTACCAGGTATCATGCTAGGGGCGAGATACAGAGTTTATGTGCTCAGTAACTCTAGTTTATTGAGGGAAGCAGTTTCATAAATAATTGCAAGATCATTTATGCCCTTAAGGAACTCTTGGGTACATAAGGGAGTTAAACACATAAAATTATTGTAATATAAAATGCTAAATGGCATATTAGAGGGGACTGTAATTCTACCTGACATTTATAAACCTTTGTACTTTTCAAAGCATTTTTACATTAGATTTACCTCTCTGATCCTGAATTTTGTGAGGCGGCTATCAAGTAGCCAAAGAAAATTTATAAACATAATCATGTATCAGTATCTACCACAAACTTTATCACAGTTATCCACTTTCATTAATAATTTATGAAACATTACAGTCAAATAATAAATTAAAGATATCTAAATTTTCTCAAGGAGCCCTGGTGGTGCACTGGTTAAAAGCTTGGCTGCTAACCAACAGGTTGGCGGTTTGAACTCACCAGCCACTCCACTGGAGAAACATGTGGCAGTCTGCTTTCATAAAGATTACAGCCTTGGAAACCCTTTGGCACAATTCTACTCTGTCCTATAGGGTCACTATGAGTCAGAATGACACAGGTTAAATTTTAAGGGCAAACCCCACTATGATAGAAGCACTATGTGGCTTTATTGCACCCGCATTTTGAAGCTAAGGTGCACATACATTAAGCCCTTAAAGAGGAAAATCTCTGATCTTCATCACAGTCCAGTCCTATTCCAAACACAAGACTGTAATTTTCAATGTTCTTTCCCCATGACCCCATATGGCAGCGTATCTCAAACACTGTTGTTGCTAGCTGCTGTTGAGTTGATTTAGACTCATGCAGGCTCCACGTGTTTCAAACATTATTAAAATTCCTATCTAAAATATTTGTAAAGATGCTTGGAATTCATATGTTCCTTGTATGCTTTTCAAAGTGGGGCTGAATGTCAGGGATCACATGAAGCCACAGAACCAGCATCTTCCAAATTTTCCAAGAGCGCAAATTTTACTTCTTTACTTTGAAGGTTGCAGGGGATATAGTGGTAGCATGATGTGAGGTAACAGTACCTTCAAAGAAAGGCCTGACTACTTACCGCCGAAAAATCAGCCACTGAAAACCGTGTGGAGCACTGTTTCACTCTGACACAAATGGGGTCACCAAGAGTAGGAGCTAAACTCAATGGCAACTGGTGGCGGTAGTTCAAAACGTTTTTACATTAATATATGTACTGAATAGAATGTAGGATTCACATGAATTTTAGAGATAAAACAGAAGACATCAAAGAACATACTTGTTGGGCACACTCTTTTGCGACTCAAGTTCCCTGAAAAGTTTCAGGTACACTGCTTTACATAAGCTATAACGCAGTACAATTGTCAACGGCCACCTGAAAAGCATGCTGTAGCGTTATATTTAATTCTCTACTTTAAAATATATTATACCCTAGCTGAAGAACAAGGAGTCCTGGTGGCGCCATGGTTAAGCAGTTGGCTGGTAACTGAAAGGTTGATGGTTTGAACCCACCCAGTGGCTCTGCTGGAGAAAAGACCTGGTGATCTGCTCCTGCAAAAATTTCAGCCTAGAAATCCCACGGGGCAGTTCTACATATAGAGTCATTCTGATTTGGAACTGACTTAACAGCAGACAACAAGAAGCTAAAGAACACATTCCATCATCCAAAATGGAAGGTTCTGGATGAATACATCAGGTTGACTGACAAAAGAATACAGCATCTGAAGTCAAATGATCCTTGAACTAATTAGTTATTTCTCTAAACCCCAGTTACCTTACTTGTAAATTAGGGATAACATTAGGGTTATCTTCTACATGAAATATGATGCAGGTACACTAGAGTACAGTGCCTTACATATAGGAAGTGCTCAATAAGTGTCAATGGCTATTATTCCGTTATACTGAACATCAGTTAACTAATGTCTCTAATAAATGGGCTGGACCTGGTGCTTAAAAAACAATCTGTTACCACTTCCTAAAAAGTGACTGAACACTCCACCATCTCCCAGGGGTCCTACATTGGTTATGGATGTGATGGCCATTCAGTTATGACCTCTCTTATTCCAGTTACTGGAAACTTGTGCTCTTACTTGGCATTCATTGGGATGACACCTTTTGATCCCACCCCAACAGGAATGTGGTCAAACATAGCCTGGGCAAGTTGCTCCTTCACGGGCTGAACATCACTTTCATCTAAATTGGTTCTTAGCAAACGGACACCACAGTTGATATCAAATCCGACACCACCTACAGAACAGAGGAAAGTAGTCAGATATTATCAAAAGCAGGTGGTTGGGCATTGTTACCTGCAGTTTCCATTAATATTGGGTTAAAAAAGACAATCATTCTATTAAAGATAACTTTGTTTAAAGTGCCTATCAAAGTGGTTCTCTGTTGGGTAAAGTTTAATTACACCAAAACAAAATTAACAAACATACTGAAGATAATTTATCAGCCAGGAAGGCACAAATGAACAAGGAGTAAGTAACATCTAGAAGGGATGAGATCAAAATGTGATTTAGCTGCCTTTTTTCTTGACTACTCTTGACAGGGATTATAAATTCTATCAGTCTTTTCAAATAACCAATTTTTGGCTTTGTTGATCCTTTCTACCTTTTCATTTAGTAACATTTGCTCTTAGTTCCATCTTTTTACTGTCTGATTTGCTGTTTTTTCTCTTTTTCAAATGAATCTTATTTCCACCTTTTTACTTTCTTTATGTCTAATTTGTTGGTTTCTCTCTTTTTCAGATGAATGATTAAGTCACTGTTATTTCAGCTTTTCTTCTTTCCACTTTGCGCACGTAAGGCTATAAACTGCCACCTAAGCATGGCATCATAATAACCCACAAGTTTTAGACAAAAGTATTTTTTATTAAAGGAGCCCTGGTGATGCACCAGTTAAGTGCTTGGCTGCTAACCCAAAGGCTGGCGGCTGGAACTCACCCAGTGGCTCTGGGGGAGAAAGACTCGGTGATCTGCGTCCGTAAATATTATGGCCCAGGAAACCCTATGTGGCAGTTCTACTATATAACAAGAAATCGCTATGAGTTGAAATTGATTTGACAGCACCTAATAACAACATTTTTTATTAATGGAATCCCTGGGTGGTGTAAATGGTTAAGCGTTTGGCTACTAACCAAAAGGCTGGCAGTTTGAATCCACCCAGAAGTACCTCAGAAGAAAGGCCTGGTGATCTACTTCCAAAAGATCACAACCATTAAAAACCCTATGGAGTGCACTTCTACTCTGAAATATTTAGGGTCACCCTGAGTCTGAATCAACTCGATGGTAACTGGTTTGGTTTTGGTTTTACTTCATATTAACTTAAGTTAAAAATATTTTCTAATTTATTATTTTTCTTAAGCTATTTGGTTACTTAAAAGCATACTGCCTGATTTCCAAATATATGATTTCTAGTTTCTGTTTTTGTTGACAATTTCCAACTTAATTCCACTGCCTCTATATCAGTGGTTCTTAAAGTGTATGTAGTCCAGAGACACCTGGGGAGTGGGAGGGGCAAGATCCTTTCAGATCTATAAGACTAAGCTTTTATAATATTGCTAAGACATTATTTGCATTTTAAATTCTCATTCTCTCATGACGGTAAAGTTTTCCAAAGGCTACACGATACGTGATGATATCTTTGTTCCGATGGACAGTGAAATGTGTACTTGTGTATTCCTGTGTTTTAAAATTTTCTGTTTTAATTTCTAGTACGGTAAACATTGATATTTACCCAGCCTTTCTAGTTATTCTCAGTAGGGGCTTGGTCTGAAATAACTTAGTCTACCACTGCCACAAGCAGACTCTCAAGATGTAATTTAAACTTTCATTTTTAATTCAGACCTTCTGGAAGCAAAGATCTCAGTGCTGGTGTGGAATGTTTTCAGTGAGAGAACCCCACAGCAGAAAAGATGTATAGAACGCGAGATAAGTAATGATGAGAATAAACACTTACTGAGTACTTCCTATGTACCCAGCCCGGTTCAACATATTTTACTTGTTTTTACTCATTCAATCCTTACAATAATGCTATGTGCTAACATTATTAGCCCCAATTTGCCCCTGAGGTAACTGAGACACAAAGGTAAATAATTTGCCAAAGAAGTGTTTGTTTTGTAGTCTGTGTCTGAACGTTGCTGTTGTTGTTAAGTGCCGTCCAGTCGGTCCCGACTCACAGTGACCCTGTGTACAAGAGAAGGAAACACTGCCTGGTCCTGTGCCATCCTCCCAACTGTTGCTATGTTTGAGCCCATTGTTGCAGTCACTGTGTCAATCCATGTCTGAACAGTGCCTGGCATACAGTCGGAGTCCAACAAATTTTCAATAAATATATGCTTTGTTGGATATTTGAGAGCTTCTGAGTGGTCATAATCAATTTTCTCAGTAAATGAGAGGAAAAGAAATGATAGAGTATGATGACACTGAGAGGTACACAAAAAGAGAAGTTGTGCATTGTTTCAGAAAAACATGGCTCACAGAGAGAAATCGCAAACCTGACAGCAGACATGTGTACACAGTGAACTCACCTGGCGAAACCACAGCATCAGGGTCATTCATATCAAAGGCTGCCATGTTCCCAATAGCAAACCCATAACCTGAGTGGACATCAGGAAGACCAATGGAACGCTGAAAGAGAATCAGAAGATGAAACAGCACTTTCTCAGTATGGCACTGATGGGCCTGATACTGATTCCCAAAGAGGCTGCAGGCTGAAGCCTTCCCAAAAACCAAATTTCATTTTCATGAAATCTCTACTGGTGGAAATTCGGTGTGAAAACTCCTAATCACAAAGCAAAATATATGGCGAAATCCTTTCTATAAAGTCTGACCAGAAACTAAGGAACCCGAAAACAAAAAAGCTTCAGAATAACAAGATATGAGGACCACATACCAACTTTAATGTATTATCACATTTTACAGATGATCTTAAGGCACTGATAAATCATGCTCATGTTGGGTTAATAGAAAGGCAACAGGCGATCTACACAGGTCCTGAGTGTTTAAACAATCACAGACAAACATAACCCATTTCATCTTATGAATACTCTATACTTTCTATATTTGGAGCCTGAAAAAGGATTCTGACCCAGGAAGAGTGCAGGTCAAATACGGAAAGATATGGAAACATCTAAACACTTATGAATTCCTTAAATGCACAAGCCAATCTATTTCCCCCACAAGTGGCCAGCACTGTAACCGCCCTAAAGATCTCAAAAACTGTTTGCTGAATAGACAAATACACTTCCAACATCTACCTCTAATGGCAGAATGTGAACGTTGGGTTGCACTGTCCAGCTCTGTCCCTGTGTTATTGCCACCACACTCCTTCTCCAATCATGTCCAGAAGAGCTATGCAGCCCTCTCTCCCTAGACGCAGTCTTAACCCTTAAACTTCTTTCTACTTCTTCTCCAACCCTCCTCTTGAACACGGCTATAGTGAAACCTACAATAATGGTGTAGTCACCTAGGGATAATGACGTATTACAAATAAAGAAGAAAACACAAAAACCAGTTCAATGTCCTTGACAGTGTATAGGTTCTAGCCATGGAAACCAGAAATCAAGCTGTTATCCAGACTAGATGACTTCTTTAAGTCCATGGTTATTTCAAGATGTTCGAAGGTCACTGTCTAAGCGACACCATTGTCAGTTAGGCATGACCATTCACCCAGTCAATAAACTTTCAGAGTAAGAGGAAATAAAAACGATTAAGGCTCTGGACTTTGACTCACATGAACAATTCCAGGCAGGGCTGCCACATTGCCAATCTGTTTCATAGCTGGCAGGAAGCCACCAATACCTGGAGATAAAGATTCAACATCAGGAAAGAAGACATGTTTGATTTTTAGCATTAAGTATAGTCACATGTTTCTAGGTTGCATTAAATGAAGGGGAAGTGGTTAGGGCTACTAAACCAACAGAGTATAAAAGGCTGTCTGACGGGAGTGGGAGGGAGCCTCTTAAAGGAGGAATCGCATGCACAGGAAAGGCGGTGAGGTACACAACCCGACTAATCACACACATGCTGCCAGCGTTCTGTGTGAACCACGAGGGAGTCTGCAAATGCTCTACTAGGAGATGTCAAAAATAACTATTAAACTTTATGTTGTGAATGTAAAAAAATGTATTCTTTCAATAGTTCAAGTTATTAAAAAACATACAAACAAACAAACAACGGTGGTTTTATCTGAAGTGAAAAACAAGGGCAATGTGGCAGAGGAGTGGAACCGCTGGGTTGAGAGCCGAGGGATTTGGGTTCCAGTCTCAGCTCTGTCACTTGGTACCTGTGTCATCCTAGACCTGGGGAGAGGGGTGTTTACCTAAAATTAGTTTGCTGACCTAAAAAAGAAAAGGGTTAAAACTAGATGATTTTTATTCCTCCACCACCATTAGAAGGAGCTCTGGTGGCACAGTGTTTAAGCGCTTGGCTGCTAACCAACAGGTCAGTGGTTCGAACCCACCAGCCGCTCCATGGGAGAAAGATGTGCAGTCTGCTTCTGTGAAGATTACAGCCTTGGAAACCCTATGGGGACAGTTCCACTGTCCTACAGGGTTGCTAAGAGTCAGAATTGACTCAACAGTACACACCACACACACAGACATACACACACACATCCCATCACTGGAGCATATCAGAGCTTTATAAACTTACCTCTGACCCTCGCTGCAGCTCTGTAAGGCTGGTGTAACAAGCCCTATTTTACAGATGACATAACTGAAGTTCAGTGAGGCTAGTGTGCTGCTGGGAGTCCCTGGGTGGCGCACATGGTAAAGTGCTCAATTACTAGCTGACAGGTTGATGGTTCAAACCTACCCAGAGGTGCCTTGGAAGATAGGCCTGACAATCTGTTTCTGAAAGGTCAGAGATTTGAAAACCCTATGGAACACAATTCTACTCTGCATGAGTCGGAATCAACCCAATGGGAACTAAAAACAGTAACAAGAGTATACTGGTTAAAAATACTGAAGTCAGACCCTCCTGGATCTGAATTCTGGTTCTGTCAACGAAGTTGTGGGATTTTGGGCAAACTAAAATGATTTAACCTTACTGAGTCTTGGCTCATATACCTGTAAAATAATATCTTCCTCTTAAAGTTACTCCAAGAATCACATGAGATTATGCTTGTAAAACACCCAGTAAAGTGTCCAACACATAGCAAGTTCTCAATAAACAGTAGTTCTTGTTACTACTGTCCAGTGTCACCTGAGAAATAAACCACTCTGCTCCAGACCCCTTCCACAAAGCCAAGTGGCTAACTGATTGTGATCATAAATAATGTTTTTTCATCTCATTTCAAGTCTTGATCATTCCTTGACAATATTTCTGCATTTAAAAATCACATTCGAATTACTATTTTCTCAGGCCACAGGGAAGATACCCCTTGTACCACCGCATGTGAGACTCTAAGGTACTCACCACCACCTCGACAGGCATTCCGCAACTCCTCAAACATTAACTTCTCCAAGGCATCGTTCACGTAGAAAACTCCTTCCACCTGACACCAAACAAACAGACTACGTTTGAGCAAGTGTACGAGATAGGCACTGGATAGAATATGAACAGTCCATGTAGTGCTTATTTTTATTTTGCTTTACTATTTAAAACACTTCTACATTACCTTAAGCAAGCACAAAACTTCCTATCAAAAACTACATGATACTCTCATCTTTAACTATGCCTTTAAAGTGTATTTTGCAATGTTCACAAATTGTTTTGTGTACCGATAAAACTTTTTTTTCCCTTTGTGATAAATAAGTCTTCCAAGTATGCTCTCATAAAGCTATAAGGTCTCAGCACTCTCGTGCTTCTAAACTACCAATGGGTTTTGAAGACACAGAATTACAACTCAAATGCTAAACATAAAAATGAAGTCATCTGACCTTAGTGTATTTTTTCTGTGTTTAAAGCAGTAGCAAATTACATTTTATTGTGTTCTATGCTGATTTACAAATATGAGTAAAAATTTTACCACGTAACTGTGTGCTCAGTGGTTAAGATCTCGGTTGCTAACCAAAAGGTTGGCAGTTCGAATCTACCAGCTGCTCCCTGGGAACCCTATGTGGCAGTTCTACTCTGTCCTATAGGGTCCCTATTAGTTGGAATCGACTTGGTGGTAATGGGTTTGTTTTTTTATCAAAAACTTTGGTTTGATATCAAAGAATTGCTGCTGGACAATGACAGAGTGTGTTATCATCATCCTCTTAACATGATCATCTCATGGTATTGCTCATTCTCTATTCCTTCAGGGACCCAGATTTCATACAAAGAAACTGGCCAAATGGAAAACAGCAGAAAGGAGTCTTATCACTGTGGGCTTCTCTCTCCTCTCAGTGTCAAGCTCAGTGCCTGGCTCATAGGGGACATTCAAATAAGCTTTAATATTGAATAAAAGTCAGGAACTTTTTTACCCAGTCACAGGATTGCAAACTTTCAGTGCACTTGCCTGGGCATCTTAAAGGATCTCGCAGGCCATTTAATAACATATGCACCAAAACCTCACACATGCTTTCATTACTTTAACAGAGAATACTGAGCACAAGCAGTGATGAAGCCCAAGTGATACGGTGAATCCACGCTTTCACACTTTCTGGTCTTGGGTTCCCAGTCTCCATATGGCAGGCATCATCGGTCTGAGGAACAAGAATTCAACCTGGCATCAAGCCCTGGCTGAACTTCTTACTAGGTGGGTAGAGAACGCTATGTTACTGACCTAACCCTCGGAGTCCTTCTTCCATAAACATTAAAAAAAAAAAGAAAAAAAACAAAACCCTTCCCTGTTAATCCTCTAGGCTGTTGTGAGGAACAAAACGTTTTTATTAAAAACCAACTTGGAGCAGCGAATACCAATAACTTGGTTCAGCAAACACAGTAAGCGTCATGTAAACGACCAGCATGACTCAGAGGACTGAGTTCCAGATCCAGCAGCTGTACCCCGGATTGGCTCTGCCACCTTGGAAAAGACCACTGACACCTCTGAGGCTCAGGAACATTATATACCTCACGGTGCTTTTATGAGAATTAACTGACGTGTGAAAACGGTTTGCAAGCACCAATTTCGTATTTAGTTGGATCCCCTAGACATATCCCGCTTTGCTCGTCCCTCGTGGTTTGGGGACCACTCCTGTAGGGAAGTGGGGTCGGCGCAGGGTGGGCTGCCCTGGAGCCGGGAGGAGTCGGGGTAGTGGCAGTTGCCGGCCCAGCGCTTGAGAGGGCGCGGAGGAGGCGGGAGAAAGCGGGCCGGGCCAGGGTAGGAGGCGCCGCGGGCCCCGAGCCCCGAGCCCGGAAGGCCCCTCTGCCGGGTCCCCTTCCCTGCTTCACCTGCATGTTAGGAACGAAGCCCTTCTTGATCCTCCAGCAATTTTTGTTGATCTTATCCAAGAACTGCAACTCATCATTATAGTTGCGACTCATGGCGGCGACACCTGATAACCACTTTGAAGAACTAGCGGATGCCGCGCTGTACCACTACCCCTAGAACCGCCTTCTGGCTCTCAATGCGCAGGCGCGGCCGGCTCGGCAGGCAGGGTGGGCAACGGCAAGCGCCGAGGCTCGAAACTCTTTGTAAGAATCGCTTTCGCTCGTTAGGTTATACTGCCCTCTAGAATTTAGTTTTTTGAATCTCTTGTAATTGTTTTCTTCCAGGCTTAATTTAAAGCTAAGCTAAATCCCATAGTTTGTAGTATTCGCTAGTTACCCTTTGTTTTGGAAGTGCTTTTCAGAATCATGAAAACACATTAAATTTGGGTCAGGTCCAACTGCTCTAGTGAATACACCTCTTTGGAGTTTACATCATAGCCAGCTCTCTCTAGCAGCGAGGGGAAAAATACATGCCTGCAGCTGTGAAAGAGAAATGTTTAAATAAATACCACAACTGAAAAAAAAATAATGTTTCAGGATGAATTTGTGGAGATGCATTAAGTAACTTTTCTTTCCGAAGAAACTATCCCAGAGACTGTAACACAACAGTTTATCATTTATTTCAACAAGCACTCGTAGGGACATCTATTATGACCAGGCATATGCTACAAGGATGAGTAAATCACAGTTCCTGTTGGTCCTCAGGGCCTCCCAGCGCAGCCTTCTTTGGTGACTAAATCCTCCCTGATCAGGGTTTCATACGCAGCGTCTCTTGTTCATAGTTGGTAAATGAGCTTTAAGTGATTTCAGCTTCTAGTCTTACCTTACGTAAAGAGCAACAGCTTTGGAATCAGAAGGACTTGGATTCAATTTCTACCTCTGCCTTTTACTAACTTTGTGTCATAATCCTTCTGAATCATCATCTATAAAATAGGATCGTAGAGTGGTTGTGAGGATTAACCTCGTGGAGTAACCAGAATAGGGCTTGGCATGTTCTAAACACTTTGAGAATGTCTCTCTTCCATTCCCCTGCTAGACTGTAAGCTCCACAAAAGTAAAGTTTTTGTTTTCTATTCAGCTTTTACATTATCCATACTGGTTCCCCTTTCCTCTGCTCCAGTTTCACCCTATTGATAAGGTGTTCTAACAACATAAATACCATTATCAGCTATGAATTATTGTCTTAGGCTAGGTTCTCTAGAGAAGCAAAACCAGTAAAGTGTGTGTATATATATATATGTATATGTATATATAGACTATATATACTATATACATATACATATATAATACATATATGTTGTTGTTAGGTTCCGTCGAATTGGTTCTGACTCATAGTGACCGTACGTACTACAGAACGAAACACTGCCCGGTCCTGCACCGCGCTCACAATCGTTGTTATGCTTGAGCCTATTGTTGCAGCCACTGTGTCAATGTATCATGTTGAGGGTCTTGCTCTTTCTCGCTGACCCTCTACTTTACCAAGCATGATGTCCTTCTCCAGGGACTGATCGCTCCTCACATGTCCAAAGTATGTAAGACGTAGTTTCCCTATCCTTGCTTCTAAGGAGCATTCTGGTTGTACTTCTTCCAAGACAGATTTGTGTGTTCTTTTGGCAGTCCATGGTATATACAATATTCTTCACCAACACCACAATTCAAAGGCATCAATTCTTCTTTGGTCTTCCTTATTCATTGTTCAGCTTTTGCGTGTATATGATGTGATTGAAAATACCATGGCTTGCGTCAGGCACACCTTAGTCTTCAAGGTAACATCTTTGCTTTTCAACACTTTAAAGAGGTCTTTTTGCAGCAGATTTGCCCAATGCAACGCATCTTTTGATTTCTTGACTGCTGCTTCCATGGGTGTTGATTGTGGAGTCAAGTAAAATGAAATCCTTGACAATTTCAATCTTTTCTCCGCTTATCACGATCTTGCTTATTGGTGCAGTTGTGAGGATTTTTGTTTTCTTTATGTTGAGGTGTAATCCATACTGAAGGCTGTGGTCTTTGATCTTCATCAGTAAGTGCTTCAAGTCCTCTTCACTTTCAGCAAGCAAGGTTGTGTCATCTGCATAACGCAGATTTTTAATGAGTCTTCCTCCAATCCTGATGCCCCATTCTTCTTCATATAGTCCAGCTTCTCAGATTATTTGCTCAGCATACAGATTGAATAGGTATGGTGAAAGGATACAACCCTGATGCACACCTTTCCTGATTTTAAACCATGTAGTATCCCCTTGTTCTATTCAAACAACTGTGTCTTGGCCTATGCACAGGTTCCTCATGAGCACAATTAAGTGTTCTGGAATTCCCATTCTCTGCAATGTTATCCGTAATTCGTTATGATCCACACAGTAAAATGCCTTTGCATAGTCAGTCAAACACAGGTAAATATCTTTCTGGTATTCTCTGCTTTCAGCCAGGATCCATCAGACATCAACAATGATACCCCTGGTTCCATGTCCTCTTCTGAACCTGGCCTGAATTTCTGACAGTTTCCTGTCGATATACTGCTTCAGCCGCTTTTGAATGATCTTCAGCAAAATTGTACTTGCATGTGATGTTAATGATATTGTTTGATAATTTCCACATTCAGTTGGATCACCTTTCTTGGAAATAGGCATAAATATGGATTTCTTCCAGTCAGTTGGCCGGGTAGCTGTCTTCCAAATTTCTTGGCATAGACTAGTGAGCACTTCCAGTGCTGCATCTGTTTGTTGAAACATCTCAATCGATATTCCCTCAATTCCTGGAGCTTTGTTTTTCACCAATGCCTTCAATGCAGCTGGAACTTCTTCCTTTAGTACCATGGGTTCCTGATCAAATGCTACCTCTTGAAATTGTTGAAGGTTGACCAATTCTTTTTGGAATAATGACTGTATATTCCTTCCACCTTCTTTTGAGCTTCCTGCGTTGTTTGATATTTTCCCCATAGAATCCTTCACTATTGCAACTCAAGGCTTGAATTTTTTCTTCAGTTCTTTCGACTTGAGAAACACTGAACGTGTTCTTCCCTTTTGGTTTTCTATCTCCAGCTGTTTGCACATGTCATTCTAGTACTTTACTTTGTCTTCTCGAGCGGCCCTTTGAAATCTTCCATTCAGTTCTTTTACTTCATCATTTCTTCCTTTTGCTTTAGCTACTCAGTGTTCAAGAGCAAGTTTCAGAGTCTCTTCTGATATCCATTTTGGTCTTTTCTTTCTTTCCTGTCTTTTTAATGACCTCTTGCTTTCTTCATGTATAATGTCCTTGATGTCATTCTACAACTTGTCTAGTCTTCAGTCATTAGCGTTCAGTGAATCAAATCTGTTCTTGAATCAAGCCTTGCACTCTGCACAACCTCAGCTCTGGTCAATGTTAAACCAAAACCAACCAATTGCAGTGCTTGATGCCAAGCCATGGTGACCTCATGATGACTTCATGGGTGCCAGAATAGAAGTGTGCTCCACAGCGTTTTCACAGCTGTGACCTTTTGGAAGCAGATCACCAGGCCTTTCTTCCAAAGTGTCTCTGGGTGGGTTCCAACTGCCAATCTTTGGTTATGTAATTAAGCACTTAACCATTTATGCCACCCAGGGACTCCTTTGTCAGTGTTAAAGACACTAAATTTCCTTCTCTTTTCCCTGTCTTATTTTATTAAGAAAAAAAAAATGGGTTCAGGAAATTTCTCAAATAAAGACAAGGTAGACATTGATAGAAAACTACTTTAATTAAATAAAGGGCACAGTAACAGTAAATATAAAATATAAAACCCAGTATGCAGGGAGTGGGGAACCGCTCTAGAGCTGAAGGGGTCTCCACTGATAACAACCAATTCAAATGTGTCCTAAAAGAGTTTGTTATCCACCTCCACAGGTGCACATGCCTAACTCTTGGTCCCAGAATCTTATAAACACAGATGCCCACAACATGCCTACGCATACATTCAAACGTCCACCTCTCCACACACACAGAGGCACCCCTTCCCTCTATTCAGCTCTTTAACCCAGTTTGCCTCACTCTAGGTTCCCGAAGGCTTGATAAAGAAAACTTTTTGCCTTAGTAATTCATAAGGGCTTTAAAATTCCAGTGAGCACCATCTTCTTCCAGGGTTACAGCAGCTGTGGGGTTAAGGGCCACTGACTTCTTGTGGTGGTTTGCAAACAGGAAATCAAGGGGCTAGCTTCCCCCTCCAGTATCCTTTTATCAGGTTCAGAGCTTCCCAGCCATGGACTCCTGGCTGCTGCTTTGAGTTTGTTTCATACTTCAGGTCGGTGGAAATCAAAAGGAAACCCTGGAAAGGATGTAACAAAAAAGACAATGTCAAACTTTGGGCACTTGCAGCCTCAGGATATCTGGGTTTGCCTGAGGGCTCCACCGCACCACACCTCTCCCCTCCTCCCTTGACAGCGTCTCAGACATACAGCAGGCCATTTTTTTTCCTCAACTACTCGTATTTTATTTTTTTAAATTTTTTTTATTGTGCTTTAGGTGAAAGTTCACAGAGCAAATTAGCTTCGCATTCAATCATTTGTACATAAAGCATTTCATGGCATTGGGTGCATTTTCCCTCAGTGTGTTAGCATTCTCCCCATTTCTGCCCTTGGTTCCCTGTTTCCTTTTGTCTGGATTTGCCACCCCTTTCTGCCTTCTCATCTCTGCTTTTGGGCAAATGTTGTCCTTTTGATCTCATACAATTGATTGTTCTAAGGAACACGTTCCTCTTGGGTGTTATAGTTTATTTTATGGGTCTGTCTATTGTTTGGCTGAAAGGTGGTCTGTGAGAACGGTTTCAGTTCCAGGTCAGAAGAGTGTCTTTGACCATAGTCTTGGGGGTTCCTTCAGTCTCTATCAGACTAGTAAGACTGATCTTTTTTGTGAATTTGATTTTTTGTTCTATATTTTTTTTCTGCTCTGTCTGGGGACCCTCTGTTGTGATCCCAGTCAGAACAGCTGATAGTGGTAGCTGTCCACCATCTAGTTCTACTGGTCTTGGGGTTGTGTAGGCTGGTTCATTTGGTCCGTTAGTTCTTTGGAGTAATTGTTCCCTTGAGTCTTTGGTTTTCTTCACTCTCCTTTGCTCCGATGGGAAGAGACCGATAGCCGTTTCTTAGATGGCTAATCGCAATCTTTTAAGACCCCAGACGCTACTCACCACAGTAGGATACAGAACATAGTCTTTATGAGCTATGTTGTGCCAATTGACGTAGATGTCCTCCAAGTCTATGGTTCTTCACCTTTGAGCCTAGGAACTTTGTCCCGCATGGTGTTTGGTTATGTCTAAGGAGTTTCCATGGCTGTGCCCTTGTGTGCTCTATTGTCTATATTAATATACATGCAGCAACTACTATTAGGTATACAGGAATATCCACAACCAAACCTATATCTGCAGGTGGATGTGCTCCCTTACACCCTCCCACACAGAAGAGGCCATTTTGGATTACTGTCACCTGATATGACTTAAGTATTTGTAGAACCTTGTGTGTGTATGTGTGTGCATGAGAGTATGTGAGAGAGGAGAGGAGTAGGAGGGGAAAAGAAGGTAAGAAATGTATAGGATTGGAGAATTCCATCAGAAACTTATTTCTACCTCCCCAACAAAAAAGTGCCAAAAAAGAAGAAACAAAGGTGGCCTGAAATTAGTTAATAATGATAAACCTGAGAATAGCCCTTGACAGATCCTTAGACCCAGAGGTGGGGAAAGTTCATGAACTGGGGTATCAGAAGAGCCAGTCTGAAGACGGAAACAACCTAAATGCCCTTCAACAGATGAATGGATAAGTAAATTATGGTACATACACACAGTGGAATACTATACAACGATAAAGATCAATGATGAACCCGTGAAACATCTCACAACATGGATGAATCTGGAAGGCATTATGCTGAATGAAATAAGGTAGTCACAAGAGGACAAATATTGTATGAGACCACTGTTATAAGAACTTAAGAAAAAGTTTACACACAGAAAAAAGCATCCTTTGATGGTAATGAGGGTGGGGAGGGAGGGGGAGAGGAAATTATTAACTAGATAGTAGACAAGTGTCAATTGTGGTGAAGGGAAGGGCAACACACAATACAGGGGAAGTCAGCACAACTGGACCAAAGCAAAAGCACAGAAGTCTTCCAGACGCATCCAAATACTTCGAGGGACCAAGCAGCTGTGTCTAGGGCCTGGGGACCATGGCCTTGGGGGACCTCTAGGTCCATAGTTCATAAAGAAAATGTTCTACATCTGACTTTGGTGAGTAGTGTCTGGTATCTTAAAAGCTTGCAAGTGGCCGTCTAAGATACATCTATTGGTCCCATCTGGAGCAAAGGAGAATGAAGAAAACACAAGAAAAATATTAGTACAAAGGACTAAAGGACCACATGAACCAAAGACTCCACCGGCCTTAGACCAGAAGAACTAGATGGGGCCTGGCTACCACCAACGACCGCTCTGACAGATCACAACAGAGAGTCCTGGACAGAGCAGGAGACAAACGTAGAATAGAATTCAAACTCATGAAAAAAGAGACTGGAGTTAACTCCGGAAACTATGACCCCTGGACACTCTGCTAACCCAGAACAGAAACCATTCCTGAAGTCCACTTTTCACACAAAGATTGGACAACACCACAGAACAAAAAATAACACACATAAGGAACATGCTTCTTCGTTCATTCAAATATATGATACAAAATGGTCAACTCCTGTCCAAAAGCCAGATGAGAAGGCAGGAAGGGACAGGAACTGGTTGAATGGATACAGAGAACTTGGGGTGGAAAAGGGGGAAAGTGCTGTCACATTGTGGGGATTGCAACTGATGTCACAAAACAATATGTGTATAAATTTTTGATTGAGAAATTAACTTGAGCTATAAACTTTCACCTAAAGCACAGCAGGAAAAAAAAAGAAGAGCCAGTCTGGTCACTGCCACACCCTTTCCAGCTGAATGACCCCTTCTCTTAGTTTCATGGTCTATGTTGTTCTTGTTAACTGCCGTCCTGTCAACCCCCAAACCCCTGGTTCTGGGCCATCCTCATCATCAGTTATGGATGGGACTGTTGTGGTCCATAGGGTTTTTACTGACTGAGTTTTGGAAGTAGATTGCCAGGCCTTTCTTTCTAGTCTGTCTTAGTCTGGAAGTTCCACTGAAACCTGCTCAGCATCATAGCAACACACAAGCCTCCACTGAGGCTGTACGTGAGGTGCATTGCCTGGGAATTGAATCTGGGCATCCAGCATGGAAGGTGAGAATTCTACCACTGCCCTCTGCTCATATATAAAATGGGACTAATAATCAGAGTCTTATAGGCTTTCTTGTAGAATAAATGAAATAAAGGACCCTAAAGTACGTCTTCTTGAACTGTGGAGTGAATAAATTTGGCTGCTAAATGAAATTGGACTTGGTCTGACTTTTAAACTCAAGTTTAAATGCTAGCCAATGTTAATTCCAAGTTTTTAGAGCTAAACGTTTTGTTTATGAAATTCCTTGGGGCAGGAAAAAATAAAAGTAAATAAAACAGGAAGAGACTTATCCTACTCTGAAGGGAAATAGGTTAATTAAGAGGATATTTGTGTTCTTACCTTAAGAACCTCGATATCTGAATTGACGAATGAGATTTTGTGCGGGTTGGGCAGGGGAAATCCTTGCTGCAATTTTGCTAAAACATAGAAAAATGTTGTAAAATAATCGTGTCTGGGCACCGAAGTTTAGGCAAATTTTTAGCAAGGGACTAATCAGCAGCTTTTAAATAATTTATCTTTCCACTCTTCCTCGTTCTGTGATTTAATTCTCTGAGTGACATGTCCCTAGCGTTTTCCTGGAAGAGCTGTTCGTTAATCAGTGCTTAAGAAAAATGCACCCATAATTATGTGCATTTGGACAGTGGAAAAATGTCGGCAATTTGCCAAATTAGTGTTGCTGCTAATAAGGGGCCCCTGGGGACATTTTGATTTCTAACATAAAAAATATTTTAACTGAGCCATATTCAATACGATACAATTTGTCAACAATGGCTGTGCAGGGTAAGGCCCAGGACTGTCATTCATTTCAACTGTTTCTGTCCAGACGGTGCTCCTTGCATAAGAATCACAAAAATACCCCCTAGGGAGAATAATCTCATTTCCCAGTTGATCTGAAGGAGTCTGTTTACTGCCTAAAGAGAATGGTTTCAATTTCCTTCACTCAACCAGAGTCAGCCCTTCTTGCTGAGTCTGCAAATAGTGTTGCTAACGGGGCTTGGACCTGAAATAATTAATTTCGCAACCATATCATTGACGGCACAAACTTTGTAATTTCTGGCTCTTGCTTGGACCCACAGCAGCACTCTAGAAGTACAAGGAATGGAAAGCCCCAAACAATCTCCTATGTTTAGCCAATATCCATGAGACACTTCGTTTCCCAAGAATGCCTTACCGTTGGCCAGTGGGAGTACTCCAAAGTGAAGAATGGAAGACAGAATATTCTCAAACCTCAAGACCTAAGATGTGTAGGGGAAACTCAGTTACTTATCAAATCAGGGCATTTTGAAACTACCTTGCCTGGTTAGGATAGAGTGCAATAACTAGACCCTCTCCATGGGGATACACTAAATTTCCAGACCCCGAATGATATTTTGTGGGAAACTATGTAACAGAGTTCCCAGCCTCTTTCCCCCTTGTTCCCCTCTGTGCTGGATCATGGTGATGACAAATACAGAGGGACTACATGGTGGCAGCAAACAGCTTAGATATCTACCAAGTAACACAATCAAGAGCAACTAATAGATTTCCCAGTTAGTGCTCTTTATTTATTGGGGAACTCCTGTCACAAGAGTTTCTTTGCATTATATTATGCTTTGAAATTAAGGGTAACACAAGAACACTCACTCTATCTTTAATAAGCTGTGGCAGTTGTATAACCTAAGCCAGAGCGCTGGTTCCTGGGAAGATTCAGGTATTAAAAATAAATGGACTATGATGAACACCAGTTCATTCAATGTGAATTTTTTGAACATCCTTTATGCTTAGCAATAAGAAAAATCTCTTTGTAGTCTAGTAATGCTGGCTCTGAAGCTAGACTTCCTAGGTTTATCCTAGGTTCTATCATTTATTGTGTGATGTTGGGAAAGTAACTTAACCTCTCTGTGCTTCAATTTTCTTCATTGTGAAATGAAGATAATAGTACTAATCTCACAGGATTAAACAAATTAGAATTAGTAAAATGTTTAGACCAGTGCTTGGTATATGTTATTTCTGTTCTTTTTCACTCTGGCGATGCAGTGGTTAAGAGCTTGGCTGCTAACCAAAAGGGTGGCAGTTTGAATCCACCAGCTGCTCACTGGAACCCTATGGGGCAGAGATTCTCTGTCCTATAGGGTTGCTATGAGTTGGAATTGACTCATTGGCAACAGGTTTGGTTTTTGGTTTGGTTATTTCTTCAGAAATAATCATGTTTAGCACACCTCGTTGTTGATTCTAAGCAGTTTACTTGGGTCTTCTTAGAAGACTTTGACTTGGAAGCCCCTCTCTTGGCTCAGGAAACACTATTTTTGAGAAAGTCAGCTATGCATTCTCATTGACTATCATCTATCATCTACCAAATGGTTATGCCAGGGGACAGTGCATGAAACAATACTGACATTTTAGACCTCAATGTTGGGCATGAAAGGTCTGACCTATTTCCCACCTATTCACACTATTGCTATTGGATCCTAATCTTCCCAGCCTGAAACTCAGGGTGCCCCTGTACAATTAAAAAATAAACAAACATTTTGTTTGGTATTCTGGCTAAATTCTCTGACTTCTTGGCTATTTTCCCCAGATCTAGTCTCATCTTATAGCTGTTTTTGTGAAACATGGTAATACTTAAACATGGTAATAACAGGCCCTGACTTGTACAAGGCCATACAGCCAGCAAGTGGGATTTGAACTCACACAGTTTAGCCTCAGAGTTTGGATATGCAGCCATTATGCTATACTATCCCCTGGACATACAGGTGGCAATGATTGAAAGAATTACTATAAATATAAAAACAATGGCCATCATTTATTTAATACTTAATATTTACCATGCAGGCAATGTGCTAAGTCAATTTCATATACAATCTTAGCTAATCCTCTCAACAACCCCAACGTTACAATCCCTTGCTCCATACCTAAATTGCTTCTCTTGCCTGCTTTATTTTTCTCTATATATTTTCAGCTCCCACGATGTATATCTGGTTGTTTGTTGATTGTATGTCACATATGCATACACATTCTAGAAAGGGTTTCCCAACAGTGGCCGTATTGACATGTTGGACCAGATAATTCTTTCTGGTTGTAAAGGTTGTCCTGTGCATTGTAGGATGTTTAGCAGCATCCCTGGTTTCTACTCACTAGATACCAGTAGCACACCACCTCCCAAGCTGTGACATAAAAAATGTCTGTAGATATTGCCAAATGTCCCCTGGGGTGGGGGGAATCTCCCCTAGTTGAGAACCTCTGCTGTAGAATTTAAGTGCTCTAAGAGTAATGGCTTTATCTGTTTTACTCATTAGAATGGTGCCTGGCTCAATAAGATTTGTAAAATGAATAAATATCGATGCAATTAATAAATAACATTTATATAAGACTGACCATGAACTAGGCACTGTTCTATCCTGGAATTCTGATACCAAAATCCATGCACTTATCTTCTTTATGGTAGTGTCATCCATGAATGAATGAGGTAGACCTGTAACTGGATCTAAACGCCATTTAGTGTTTTGGTTGATCTTCCTGAAACCTGGAGGGTGGGGATTTCCAAGTTTCGTGTTAGGAGAGGGAGTCCTTTCCTAACAGGAGGTCACTAGGTTGGGATGGTATCTACACGACCAGCCTTGATCCAATTTTAGGAGATGGGTGGAGTGCCTTCAAAGGCAAACCTAATCATGGTCTGATAATTTACATACAGCCTCTTCCTCTGGGATTCTGGACCTTAAATTTAACTATAAACCAAACCAAACCTGTTCCTGTTGAGTCACTGTCAAGTCGATTCTGACCCATACTGACCATACAAGACAGAGTAGAACTGCCCCACAGAGCTTCCAAGGAGCGGCTGGTCGATCTGAACTGCCGACCTTTTGGTTAGCAGCCGTATCACTTAAACACTGTGCCACCAGGGCTTCGAAATTTAACTATTGGGGATTATTTTATCTAGAAAACGAAATCTCTCTGAGACTGCCTGTTCTTCTGGCATTACACATGTTTTAACTGTCTTTCAAATTCTTTCTTAAATCTTTCTGCATAGATAAAACTGAACGGGAGGGTTCCTCTCTTGTTTAACATTTAATGGGCTTCGTAGATGAGTAACTACATAAGAAACTTTAAAGTTAAAACCTACACTCATGGAGAAATCAAGTGTTCAGAGGTAGAGAAAACAACCCTCTAGCCTAAAGGAAAATGTGATTCTTCCCCTTCCAGGGAACTCTGAGAGCCCCAATTCCTACCTCAATATTGCTGCGATTGGACTCTGGCAAAGAGAGGCGGAATCTGAAAGGAAACAAGAAAAGGTTAAAAGAGGGTAGGTTGAAAAACAATGACCTTAACAGAGACAATAAAAAGAAAGGGATTCCTTTAGGCCAGTAAGTCACTACTGAAAAAACGCACAAACAAACTTGCAAGGACATAGTGTTCTACTACATCTTGCACTGTATTTTGCTGCCTAAGGAGCAGAGCAGGAATAGAAGAAGCCTTGGATTTGTAATCAGGATGGGTTCTCCAAGTGCATTTGTTATATAGGACTTATTGTTGGTAACTTGGAATGAATGCAGAACAATATTAAGAAGCAGTTTTCAGGTCTTCCTGCTCTGAATTCAACCTTATAACTTCCCTGAACCAGGCTGGTCCTTTATCAATAAATACGACAATAGTGATGACAATGATGATGATAGCGGTGGGGTTAAAGGTGATGGTGATGATAGTTTGTGACATGCACTCGTCCAGGAACTTTATAAACATTTTTTACATTTAATCTTCACGCTAACCTTTTGTGATGTCGTGGTGGTTGCTAAGTGCTGTCAAGTTGTTTCCGACTCATAGCGACCCTTTGAACAACAGATCGAAACACTGCCTGGTCCTGCACCATCCTCACGATCGTTGTTATGCTCGAGTCCATTGTTGCAGACACTGTGTCAATCCATCTCATTGAAGGTCTTCCTCTTTCACTGACCCTTTACTTTACCAAGCATGATGTCCTTCTTCAGGAACTGGATGCTATTACTACCTCTCTTTTTGCAGGTGAGGAAACTGATGTTCAGAGAGGGCAAGTAATTACCCTAAGATCACACAGCCAGCAACTAATGGATCCAGATGACAAATTCCAGTTGGTTGTTAGTTGCCATGGAGTCAACTCCGACTCAGCAACCTTACGTATAACAGAACAAAATGTTGCCTAGTCCTGCGCCATCTTCATGATTGTTGCTCTGCTTGAGCCCATCGTTGTGGCCATTGTGTCAATCCATCTCACTGAAGGTTTCCCTCACCTTCACGGGCCCTCTACTCTACCAAACATGATGTCCTTCTGCAGTGATCGATCCCTCCTTATGATGTGAATCTCAGACAATGTTCTGTGATCCATAGGGTTTTCATTGGCTAATTTTCAGAAGTTGATCTCCAGGCCTTTCTCCCCAGTCTGTTTTAGTTTAAAAGTTCTGCTGACACCTGTCTACCATGTGACTTGGCTGGTATTTAAAATACAGTGGTACAGCTTCCAGCATCATATCAACATGTAAGCCACCACAGTATGACAAATGTATAGACAGTGGTGAAATCCTAGTCTACTTGACTTTAAATTCCGTGCTCAGTATAGGCCACACTCCCTTCCTCAGAAGGTCGTATTACCTGTACCATTTGTTTTAGCTGCTCAGTTGTAATGCATAAATGCAATGCTAGTTATGATAGCTATCTGATGTGGAAGGCAGTGCAGAATAATTGTTATAGGGTTGCTATGAGTCAAAATGTTTACCTGTGTTTTATAGACTATGCAAAGGCATTCAACTGTGTGGATCATAACAAATTATGGATAACATTGCGAAGAATGGGAGTTCCAGAACACTTAACTGTGCTCATGAGGAACCTGTACATAGGCCAAGAGGCAGTCATTCGAACAGAACATGGTTTAAAGTCAGCAAAGGTGTGTGTCAGGGTTGAATCTTTTCACCATACTTACTCAATCTGTATGCTGAGCAAATAATCTGAGAAGCTGGACTATATGAAGAAGAATGGGACATCAGGATTGGAGGAAGACTCATTAACAACTTGGGATATGCAGATGATACAACCTTGCTTGCTGAAAGTGAGGAGGACTTGAAGCACTTACTGATGAAGATCAAAGACCACAGGCTTCAGTACGGATTATACCTCAACATAAAGGAAACAAAAATTCTCACAACTGGACCAATGAGCAAGATCGTGATAAACGGAGAAAAGACTGAAATTGTCAAGGATTTCATTTTACTTGCATCCACAATCAACACTCATGGAAGGAACAGTCAAGAAATCAAAAGACGCATTGGGCAAATCTGCTGCAAAAGACCTCTTTGAAGTGTTGAAAAGCAAAGATGTCACCTTGAAGACTAAGGTGCGCCTGACCCAAGCCATGGTGTTTTCAACCACCTGATATGCATATGAAAGCTGGGCGATGAATAAGACCAAAAAGAATTGGTGCCTTTGAATTGTGGTGTGGGCAAAGAATACTGACCATACCATGGACTGCCAAAAGAACGAACAAATCTGTCTTGGAAGAAGTACAAGCAGGATGCTCCTTCGAAGCAAGGATGGCGAGACTACATCTCACATCATTTGGACATGTTATCAGGTGGGATCAGTCCCTGTAGAAGGACATAATGCTTGGTAAAGTAGAGGGTCAGCGAAAAAGAGGAAGACCCCCAATTAGATGGATTGACACAGTGGCTGCAACAAATGGGCTCAAACATAACAACAATTGATAGGATGGCGCAGGACTGGCCAGTGTTTCGTTCTGTTGTACGTAGGGTCACTATGAGTCGCAACTGGCCCAATGGCAACACGAGTCAGAATCAACTTGATGGCAGTGGGTATGGTTTTTTGGTTTTTAGGGACTGTTAGCAGAAGGCCTGGGTTTGAGCTCCATATCTACCTCTTACTAACTAGGCAGATTTACTTAATTTCTCTGGATCTTAGTTTTCTAATCCATAGAATAAGAAAAAGAGTAGTACCTGTCTCATAGGGTTGCGGTGAAGATTGAATGAAATAATGCTCATTAAATGCTTAGAACTGTGCCTGGCATATACAATGCCAGGACATAATGTTCATTATATTATTTGTCGAACACCAACAAAACTGTAGGTCCAAGCAGTAGGAAGCGCTCCTACACCTTGGCAAGTGTGGGTGACGGCGTGTCCTGATGCGTGATACTTTATGGGGATTTCCATAAGAAAGCTAAAGAACAACATTGTCTCTTTCCCAATTTTGCCAAGGGCTGATCCATACGCAGTCCTCCTAATATATACACCTGATTTTCTATGCTCCTTATAAATGAGGCAATAGTAAACAACAGGTGGACCTCTTCATTTTACGGATGGGAAAGCTGAGGTCCAAAGACAGAAAACGTGAGAGATTGGAACTCTTATGCACTGCTGGTGGGAATGCAAAATGGTACAACCATTCTGGAAAATGATACGGCATTTCCTTAGAAAGCGAGAAATAGAAATACCATATGATCCAGCAATCCCGCTCCTAGGATTACATCCTAGAGAAATAAGAGCCGTCACAGGAATAGACATAATCACACCCATGTACATTGCAGCTTTGTTCACAATAGCAAAAAGATGGAAACAACCTAGATGTCCGTCAACAGATGAATGGATAAACAAACTATGGTACATACACACAATGGAATACTATGCAACGATAAAGAACAATGGTTAACCTGCGAAGCATCTCACAACATGGATGAATCTGGACGGCATTATGCTGAGTGAAATAAGTCAATCACAAAAGGAGAAGTATTGCATGAGACCACTACTATAAAAACTCATGAAAAAGTTTACACACAAGAAGAAACAATCTTTGATGGTTACGAGGGAGGGGAGGGGCGGGGGCTGAAAAACACTAAATAGACAATAGATAAGTGGTAACTTCGGTGAAGGGTAAGACAGTACACAATACTGGGGAAGCCAGCACAACTTGTTCAGGGTAAGGTCACTGAAGCTCCATGGACAAATCGAAACTCCCTGAGGGACCAAATTACTGGGCTGAGGGCTGTGGGGACCATGGTCTCATGGAACATCTAGCTCAATTGGCACAACATAGTTTATAAAGAAAATGTTCTACATTCTACTTTGGTGAGTAGCATCTGGGGTCTTAAAAGCTTCTGAGCAGCCATCCAAGACACTCCACTGGTCTCACCCCTCCGAGAGCAAGGGAGAATGAAGAAAATCAAAGACACAAGGGAAAGATTAGTCCAAAGGGCTAATGGACCACAACTACCACGGCCTCCACCACACTGAGTCCAGCACAGCTAGATGGTGCCCGGCTGCCATCACTGACTGCTCTGACAGGGATCACAGTAGAGGGTCCCCAACAGAGCTGGAGAAAAATGTAGAACAAAATTCTAACTCACATACATACACAAAAAACAGACTTACTGGCCTGACAGAGACTGGAGAAACCCTGAGAGTATGGCTAACTTTTACCTCAATAATGAAGTCACTCCTGAGGTTCACCAAAAATTAAAAAAAAAAAAAAAAAAAGTCAGAAAACACTAATAGCAAGTTGGGAATGGAACTCAGATGCCTTGATGCCTGTCCAGAGCTCCCTTCCATTACAGGATGCTTCCCCTCTTTAGCCGTCTATGGCTCACTTTTGCCCTGGTCTAGAGCCTCACTTTTGTATCAGCCTTCTAGTGAATTACTCTACCTCCAGTTTTGACCCGTTTAATCCATCTTCCACATAATCCCTAGAGTGAGCTATTACAGGCATGTCTCTACATGACTCTCAGTCCAAATTCTTTAATGGCTCATGATAAAGTCAAAGTCACTTTACATGGCACGTGAGACTTTCTGTACCCTGGCTCCCAGCTGCCCCTTTGCTCTCATCTCTTTTCATTCTGTACCTTGGATTTTATTCTTAGGAACCCTGAACTGCTTAATGCTGCACTGTTTTACTCATTAGGCACTATAGACCTGAGAGAGAGAGAAAAAAATTATATTGGCTTCAAAGCACATACCAAAAAATTCTGAAAACTGAAATGAACAAATACCTAAATAAATGTATACAAAAAGCAACATTATGATCACTAGTCACTACAACTCAACCTCACTCATAGTTTGATATGAATTGTATTTAACATGGAATACATTTGTACATATGCAATATATTTTGGGCTGGAGCCTCCAGAATCTAGAATGGCTAGGGCTATAAAGATCTTCCGATCTAAAGATCTTTTTTTTTTTTTTATTGTTGTAGTTTAAATGAAGTTTACATTTCAAGTTAGTTTCCCATACAAAAAT